TCCGAGCAGAAGGAAGCTCTCTTGGAATTGCTGAAGTTTCACAACCATTCTCAGATCTCTCCGGAAATTCGCAGGGAACTGGTGAACTCTAAGTGTCGGGATATTGAGGGGATTCCACCAGTTGCAATGGAGTAAATGAAGGAAGGGATGAAGGACTCCATTTATGGGTCACTTCAGCTGTTGTAATTTGCTCTTGATGGGACTTGTAAATTAAAGAGTAAAATGATGCTACTTCATTGGAGTTTGGCAAGCCTTTTTGCAGGAGTTAGCTTTTATAGTTTTTTTAATTAACTTGCTGTGCTTGGGACAAGATAAGATTATTTTTGAAGATAGAGCCCTCCTGTAATGAATAAATATATATTTGATGGTAGAATTATAAAGTTCTTGGAAACCCCCCCCCCATTAGAAAGGACTGTGATAACTGCTTGACCTTTGGAGACACTGATGGAGGAATATTATTAATAAAGAACAGCAAGATGAAGGGTTGCAATTCTGATTAATGGGAAGATTAAAAGACTGCTAACTAAATGAGGCAATCTAAACATCTGCAGAGGGCAATCATTGCTTTGTAGAATATGGCCTTTGTTGTAAGTGTGGGTAATCAAGAATCTTGTTCCCTTAAAGCAGGGATGATCACATGGTGACCCATGACCCCATCCACCTTACCCAGTCCCTGTGGAGTCAAAAGTGGCACTTGTATGCTGCTGATTTGGATTACTCCTTTCAGTGCTGAATGGAAGGGCGGCTGGTCAGACCAGACGGGATATGCAACTTGAGCATGGTAGGTAGAATCTGATCAGCTTTGCTTTCTGGGAGGGATGTTGTCCAAGTGTCGCAGATCACGCATGGTTGTCTTGCACTGCTTTTTAATAAGGTAATGAACACTTCTGTTCTCTTCTGGTCACTGGGAAAACTAAAATGAACTCTTTTCATTTTGAATGTTGACAGTTTGTATTCTACATCACAACCAAATGATTCTCTCTTTCTGTGTCTCACACACATACACATGTTCATACACAAAAGACAGCAGCCTTTATTCCACTAGTTGGGATCTTCAGCATGTTTCAGTTCCACAGTCAAAGGACAAGTTTTTTTTTTTTTTTTTAATGGGGAAGCAGTAAGTAATCTTGTTGCAGGTGCTCTTTTTTTCCTGGCTAACGGATGCAACCAGGAAGGTTGCTGTAACTTACTTCCCAGAAGTCAACAGATGCAGCCTCCCACTATCTTCCTTGTGATATTACAGTTAACTATGCTTTAGTGCTACAACCTCAGGACAACTCATCTCAAACAATTTAGAAGTGATGTCCTGTTGAGTCCTTGGAAAGTGGCTTATTTCACTGGCTGCTTCTGAACCAGACTGTTGGTTCAGAAGCAGACTACTGTGGCAACACATATTGCCACAGAGAAATGCCCTAAGGATGTCCAGGACTATACAGAGTTTGCTGGGGTCTGGGCAGAAGCTGCACATCCCTCAAACAGCTTGGCTGAGGAGGATTTGGACCCACAGGACTTAAGAGGAAACTTTCCTGCTTTCAGTACACAGTTACAAATCGCATCTGTTGCTATATTCTTGGTAAGCATGATGTGGTCCTTATGGGACTTTTCCTTGCCAAATTCTAACATTCAGAGCTTCAGCAGATGGCCACAAGTATTAAAACCAGAACTAAAATTGGTACGATACTTCCTCTGTCCTGAATTCTTCCTCCTTTGTTCTCTTCAGAATGCTTTTCTGATGTTGTACCTCTAACAACACCCAAGTGTATGGTTTTGTTCTCTGCTCCCTCTTGCCAAAATAGAATATATTTGGGTTATAATTCAAGCCACAGGAATGTTGGACAGGCGCTATTGTAGAATGTAAGGCTTTGACTACTAGGAACAGCTGGCTTCAGATGACCATCTGTGGTGGTTCTGATATAGCAGTTCGCATCATTACTTCTTTCCATAATACATTTCCTTCCTATTAGAAGCTGGGCCCGCTGTAGCCACTTTTCTAACTCTGATTAACACAGATGTGAGGATACCAAAGGTCAGCGCTTCCTTATTGGCAGGGAGTCAGCAAGGCACTTTTTCCTGTGCTTGTCTGATTGATGCAGCTCTAGGGCTGCATTAAGATCTTCGTGCTTTTGGGGCACGTTCAGTAAGCAGAACCCATTATTCTCAGTCTGAACTGTGGACAAGCTTACTGGTCATTCCTGCAGCAGCTGGGAATGGGAGAGTAATTGGTTTGAACAGGTTTCAGCTTCAGGGGTGATTTGGTTGAGTGGCTGTTCTGAGCAGCAGGCTTTTCATCCTGCGATATGTCCCCTAGGACAAGACACTTGCTAGAGCCCAGATTACTGAACAATTTGCATGTCGCCCATGTATCTATCTGACAGTGTAAGTGATCATAGGCTAAAGCTGTTAACTCTGTACAGAGCTGGTAAATTAACCGGCTGATGCAGCCTAGACCATTTCTGTGGATAGAGTTCTATGTTAGCGACTAGTAGCAGGATGCTAGAATGGCACTTGAAGGGGAGAAAGTAGTAAAGCCAAGCCAAAGAGAGGCAGTATCTGCCACACTTCTGGAACATGTTTCTAGACAGAGGAACCCAGTTGAGAGGCTTTGAATAGACCTTGTACCCATTGTTGTATAAAGTGGTGAATGGAATCAAGTTAGTGTCTCTGGTGGTCACTGCTTTCCAGCTGCATTTACACCCATTGGAATCATCCTTGGAAGAATCATTGTATGGTTTATGTCTTTAGAATTTTAGGCTTGGTTTGCACCACAGTAGAGTAGGCTAGGGCTTGTTTGTGGTCACAGTATAGGCTATTTCTTTGGGCATAGCATGTTCATGAATGCAGCCATTGTGTTTTGTTAACCCCTAATATATTATGTGGTTCCAGCTATAAGAGAGAGAGAACCATTTATGTTACTGAGTCCAACCTGCTGCTCAATGCAAGAATCCAATGAAACCATCCATGTAGGCATCAATAGCTGAGTGATTGGTCTGTAGTTCCTAGGTCCTCCTTTTTCTTCTTCTTGAAGTTAGAGAAAAGATGTGCCCCTCCAATCACCTGTTTTCAAAATCTTTATCAAAAAAGCTGGCCAGATCAGTAAGTTCCTTCAATAGCTAAGATGCAACTCATCTGCTCTCATTGAAGGTCAATAGACATTGTCTTTAACAAGCAAAATCTAGTCATGCTCCTTTATCTCTCTTCACAATGGTATGGTGGAACACATACCCTCTTCTCAGAAAAGACTGAGCCAAAATAAGCTCTGCCTTTTCTTTGTTATCTATAAGCTATTTGCTATCTTCATTGAGCAACTGGTATAATTGTTTCCTTTTTCTTTTTTGAACGCATCAGCCTATCTGAAAAATTGGTTATTGAATTCTAGTTCCCATTAACCTTAATCACTATGCCTTATGGGAGAGATGATAATTGGCTAAGTTCACTCATAGTGCTCAGTCATGGTTTGCTTAGCCAAGATTTACTGCATAAACTATAATTAGCTAGATCCACACAGCACAGCAAATCAAGCAAATGACATCATGGCATAGAGCCGGGGGTTTCAAAAACTTTCAGGCTCAGGAAAAGAACTAGAAGGGTGGGGCTTCTGATGTCAGCTGACAAGCTCACTCCTCTATACTATAGAGAAGGAATAAAGGAAAAAAACCCTCTGCAAAAACCCTTGTGGACTTGTTGTTCAGTCGTTAAGTCGTATCCGACTCTTCGTGACCCCATGAACCATATTGCACCAGGCCTTCCTGTCCTTCACTGCCTCCCT